TTCGCGGTCAGGGTGGAGGACACGGCGCTCATCCCACACCTGGAGGAGGTGCGACGGCGCTTGACAGCCCAGCAGCAGCGGGAGGGGGCACAGGCGGGAGGGCCTACGCTGGCACAGGGACGGACTCGGACAGGACGGGGGGCACAGAGGGCCCAGGGAGGGGAGGAGGGACGGCAGGGAGGGGGGAGGGACAGCAGGGAGGGGGGGAGGGACAGCAGGGAGGGGGGAGGGACAGCAGGGTGGGGGGAGGGACAGCAAGGAGGGGGGAGGGGCAGCAGGGTGGGGGGGAGGGACACGAGGGAGGGGGGGAGCACCAGGACAGCAGGGAGTGTGGGGACTGCCGGGACAGTCGGGACAGCAGGCACGGCTGGTGCCGCAGACGCGGGGGACAGAGGCGGGAGTCCTTGGACAGGGGCCACGGCCACAGGGACAGCCCGTTTCACACGGTGGGACGGTACAGCCGCAGCAGCCGCAGCTGAGGGAGGGCCAGGGGAGGCGCCTGGGGCGAGGGAGACGGGGGGCTCAGGAAGGGGGAAGGGCGGATGGGGCTCGGGGGGAAAGGACTCAGGGTACCGCAGGAGAGGGGGGGCAGCCCGACCACAGGGTGGTGGGGGGAGGAGATCGAGGAGATAGTCATGGTCGAGGGAGGGGGTCAGATAGCAGGGGACCGAGCACGGGACGGGCCAGAGGCAGCTAGAGGGGCCAGAGGGGGTGTGGAGCTTGATCCCCGCCAGGGGACAGGGGCACAGGAGGGCGAGAGAGTGGCACGGGGAGGGGGGATAGCAGGGGGACGGGGGGGGGCGAGGGAGTGGGGAGGACGGGAGGAGCGGGGCAGGTAGATGGAGAGGGTCTGGGGGAGGGGATAGGAGAGGCAGGGGGGTTGGGAGGGGTAGGGGCAAGGGAAAGGGAAGGGAGGGTGAGAGAGGAGGATGAGGGGGGGACAATGGCACAAGGAGGAGGGGGACCAGGACACGACTAGGCAGCAGCCCACACTGCAGCACAGCACAGCCGGACGCGCAGGCCGCGCAGGAGCACCCGCACGCATCCCCGACCTCACATGCCGCGACGCTGAGAAGGCACTCATGATTATTATAGACGTGTCGATAGCGGATCCACAGCGGGGTGGGAACGCACAGTTTCGGCGAGCGGCATCCACACAGCGGGGGGTGGCGGCGACGAGGCGGGTGCAGGAGAAGATCAGGGACTGGCGGCCGGCCTTGGTAGGAGTGCAGCCGGAGCCGATGTTCTATGCGTGCGTTGCTGAGACTTTCGGGCACTTGAGCGTGCCACTGCGAGATTTTCTGGGGCTCTGCTCACAGCGCATAGCGACGCAGCGGCGGGACGCGGGTAGTGGGGAGGAGGCATCGGCGCGGATCTTTGAGTGCGCTCTCACCACGCGAGTTTCAGTGGCGCTGCAGCGTGCGCAGGCGAACATTATCACACAGCATGCAGTGCGACAGCTGGGAGAGTCGGACGATGCATGGATGCCGATACCGGTACCGCTTGGCGCAGGCAGCTGGAGCGGACATCACATCAGTGGCTGCTTTGACAGTGTGGCCGATATGCAGTACCTGTTTGATGGCTATGTGTAGATGAAAACAAGAGTAGGCTGTGCTTGAAACGCTGTGTCTGCGCTGTAGGCGCGGGTTGCTGCTTTGTCGTGTCCCTTGGACCCCTCCCTCCTTACAGTCACACCCCTCCTCTCTTCCACCTCTCTCACCTCCCCCTTTCTTTTCCCTTACTCTTATCTTTCTTGATCCTCCTACTTCTTCTATCCTTCTCTTCTTTCCCTCTCTTTCTACCTTCCCTTCTCTTCTTTTCCTCTCTACTTTCTCTTCTCTTCTTTCCCTTCTCTTCCTAACTTCCAAAAACATTACTGTGGTCGTATAGCGTAACATTCATGCCGAAATTTCCAACTTCGGTTTCATATTGGCTATATGACTTGTAACTCTCTTTGTTATTAATAAAATAACTGCTCTCGCCCCACTGGCGCTTAGCTGCGGAGTTCTGATGGGATCCGGCGTAGTAGCCAAGGTATGATCGTACCACGTGCAGTCCTGTCCGCGGTCCGCTTCCCACTCCTCCCCCGAGGCAGCTCCCCTCTTTATAGTCACATCCGCGGTCGTGCCCGCAAGAGGCTCGCCATCTCGCTGGGGGCGGAATGGACGCCCATACGTAGTCGCGCTCCGTGGCGTCCTATGCAGAGAGCGGCCCTCCGCAGAGCGGCGCGACATCGCCGCCCGGGCGGTTCGGAGAAGAATCCTCCTTTCTTTTTCCCACTGCCCCCTCCCGGGCACGGGAGCAGGCAGAAATGGGTACGACACGAGGACTTCCCGGGAGGTCACCCTGCCCAGTACTGCTCTCGCCCACTGGCGCTAGCTGCGGAGTTCTGATGGGATCCGGCGTAGTAGCCAAGGTATGATCGTACCACGTGCAGTCCTGTCCGCGGTCCGCTTCCCACTCCTCCCCCGAGGCAGCTCCCCTCTTTATAGTCACATCCGCGGTCGTGCCCGCAAGAGGCTCGCCATCTCGCTGGGGGCGGAATGGACGCCCATACGTAGTCGCGCTCCGTGGCGTCCTATGCAGAGAGCGGCCCTCCGCAGAGCGGCGCGACATCGCCGCCCGGGCGGTTCGGAGAAGAATCCTCCTTTCTTTTTCCCACTGCCCCCTCCCGGGCACGGGAGCAGGCAGAAATGGGTACGACACGAGGACTTCCCGGGAGGTCACCCTGCCCAGTACTGCTCTCGCCCACTGGCGCTTAGCTGCGGAGTTCTGATGGGATCCGGCGTAGTAGCCAAGGTATGATCGTACCACGTGCATCCTGTCCGCGGTCCGCTTCCCACTCCTCCCCCGAGGCAGCTCCCCTCTTTATAGTCACATCCGCGGTCGTGCCCGCAAGAGGCTCGCCATCTCGCTGGGGGCGGAATGGACGCCCATACGTAGTCGCGCTCCGTGGCGTCCTATGCAGAGAGCGGCCCTCCGCAGAGCGGCGCGACATCGCCGCCCGGGCGGTTCGGAGAAGAATCCTCCTTTCTTTTTCCCACTGCCCCCTCCCGGGCACGGGAGCAGGCAGAAATGGGTACGACACGAGGACTTCCCGGGAGGTCACCCTGCCCAGTACTGCTCTCGCCCACTGGCGCTTAGCTGCGGAGTTCTGATGGGATCCGGCGTAGTAGCCAAGGTATGATCGTACCACGTGCATCCTGTCCGCGGTCCGCTTCCCACTCCTCCCCCGAGGCAGCTCCCCTCTTTATAGTCACATCCGCGGTCGTGCCCGCAAGAGGCTCGCCATCTCGCTGGGGGCGGAATGGACGCCCATACGTAGTCGCGCTCCGTGGCGTCCTATGCAGAGAGCGGCCCTCCGCAGAGCGGCGCGACATCGCCGCCCGGGCGGTTCGGAGAAGAATCCTCCTTTCTTTTTCCCACTGCCCCCTCCCGGGCACGGGAGCAGGCAGAAATGGGTACGACACGAGGACTTCCCGGGAGGTCACCCTGCCCAGTACTGCTCTCGCCCACTGGCGCTTAGCTGCGGAGTTCTGATGGGATCCGGCGTAGTAGCCAAGGTATGATCGTACCACGTGCAGTCCTGTCCGCGGTCCGCTTCCCACTCCTCCCCCGAGGCAGCTCCCCTCTTTATAGTCACATCCGCGGTCGTGCCCGCAAGAGGCTCGCCATCTCGCTGGGGGCGGAATGGACGCCCATACGTAGTCGCGCTCCGTGGCGTCCTATGCAGAGAGCGGCCCTCCGCAGAGCGGCGCGACATCGCCGCCCGGGCGGTTCGGAGAAGAATCCTCCTTTCTTTTTCCCACTGCCCCCTCCCGGGCACGGGAGCAGGCAGAAATGGGTACGACACGAGGACTTCCCGGGAGGTCACCCTGCCCAGTACTGCTCTCGCCCACTGGCGCTTAGCTGCGGAGTTCTGATGGGATCCGGCGTAGTAGCCAAGGTATGATCGTACCACGTGCAATCCTGTCCGCGGTCCGCTTCCCACTCCTCCCCCGAGGCAGCTCCCCTCTTTATAGTCACATCCGCGAACGTGCCCGCAAGAGGCTCGCCATCTCGCTGGGGGCGGAATGGACGCCCATACGTAGTCGCGCTCCGTGGCGTCCTATGCAGAGAGCGGCCCTCCGCAGAGCGGCGCGACATCGCCGCCCGGGCGGTTCGGAGAAGAATCCTCCTTTCTTTTTCCCACTGCCCCCTCCCGGGCACGGGAGCAGGCAGAAATGGGTACGACACGAGGACTTCCCGGGAGGTCACCCTGCCCAGTACTGCTCTCGCCCACTGGCGCTTAGCTGCGGAGTTCTGATGGGATCCGGCGTAGTAGCCAAGGTATGATCGTACCACGTGCAGTCCTGTCCGCGGTCCGCTTCCCACTCCTCCCCCGAGGCAGCTCCCCTCTTTATAGTCACATCCGCGGTCGTGCCCGCAAGAGGCTCGCCATCTCGCTGGGGGCGGAATGGACGCCCATACGTAGTCGCGCTCCGTGGCGTCCTATGCAGAGAGCGGCCCTCCGCAGAGCGGCGCGACATCGCCGCCCGGGCGGTTCGGAGAAGAATCCTCCTTTCTTTTTCCCACTGCCCCCTCCCGGGCACGGGAGCAGGCAGAAATGGGTACGACACGAGGACTTCCCGGGAGGTCACCCTGCCCAGTACTGCTCTCGCCCACTGGCGCTTACGCTGCGGAGTTCTGATGGGATCCGGCGTAGTAGCCAAGGTATGATCGTACCACGTGCAGTCCTGTCCGCGGTCCGCTTCCCACTCCTCCCCCGAGGCAGCTCCCCTCTTTATAGTCACATCCGCGGTCGTGCCCGCAAGAGGCTCGCCATCTCGCTGGGGGCGGAATGGACGCCCATACGTAGTCGCGCTCCGTGGCGTCCTATGCAGAGAGCGGCCCTCCGCAGAGCGGCGCGACATCGCCGCCCGGGCGGTTCGGAGAAGAATCCTCCTTTCTTTTTCCCACTGCCCCCTCCCGGGCACGGGAGCAGGCAGAAATGGGTACGACACGAGGACTTCCCGGGAGGTCACCCTGCCCAGTACTGCTCTCGCCCACTGGCGCTACGCTGCGGAGTTCTGATGGGATCCGGCGTAGTAGCCAAGGTATGATCGTACCACGTGCAGTCCTGTCCGCGGTCCGCTTCCCACTCCTCCCCCGAGGCAGCTCCCCTCTTTATAGTCACATCCGCGGTCGTGCCCGCAAGAGGCTCGCCATCTCGCTGGGGGCGGAATGGACGCCCATACGTAGTCGCGCTCCGTGGCGTCCTATGCAGAGAGCGGCCCTCCGCAGAGCGGCGCGACATCGCCGCCCGGGCGGTTCGGAGAAGAATCCTCCTTTCTTTTTCCCACTGCCCCCTCCCGGGCACGGGAGCAGGCAGAAATGGGTACGACACGAGGACTTCCCGGGAGGTCACCCTGCCCAGTACTGCTCTCGCCCACTGGCGCTTAGCTGCGGAGTTCTGATGGGATCCGGCGTAGTAGCCAAGGTATGATCGTACCACGTGCAGTCCTGTCCGCGGTCCGCTTCCCACTCCTCCCCCGAGGCAGCTCCCCTCTTTATAGTCACATCCGCGGTCGTGCCCGCAAGAGGCTCGCCATCTCGCTGGGGGCGGAATGGACGCCCATACGTAGTCGCGCTCCGTGGCGTCCTATGCAGAGAGCGGCCCTCCGCAGAGCGGCGCGACATCGCCGCCCGGGCGGTTCGGAGAAGAATCCTCCTTTCTTTTTCCCACTGCCCCCTCCCGGGCACGGGAGCAGGCAGAAATGGGTACGACACGAGGACTTCCCGGGAGGTCACCCTGCCCAGTACTGCTCTCGCCCACTGGCGCTACGCTGCGGAGTTCTGATGGGATCCGGCGTAGTAGCCAAGGTATGATCGTACCACGTGCAGTCCTGTCCGCGGTCCGCTTCCCACTCCTCCCCCGAGGCAGCTCCCCTCTTTATAGTCACATCCGCGGTCGTGCCCGCAAGAGGCTCGCCATCTCGCTGGGGGCGGAATGGACGCCCATACGTAGTCGCGCTCCGTGGCGTCCTATGCAGAGAGCGGCCCTCCGCAGAGCGGCGCGACATCGCCGCCCGGGCGGTTCGGAGAAGAATCCTCCTTTCTTTTTCCCACTGCCCCCTCCCGGGCACGGGAGCAGGCAGAAATGGGTACGACACGAGGACTTCCCGGGAGGTCACCCTGCCCAGTACTGCTCTCGCCCACTGGCGCTTAGCTGCGGAGTTCTGATGGGATCCGGCGTAGTAGCCAAGGTATGATCGTACCACGTGCAGTCCTGTCCGCGGTCCGCTTCCCACTCCTCCCCCGAGGCAGCTCCCCTCTTTATAGTCACATCCGCGGTCGTGCCCGCAAGAGGCTCGCCATCTCGCTGGGGGCGGAATGGACGCCCATACGTAGTCGCGCTCCGTGGCGTCCTATGCAGAGAGCGGCCCTCCGCAGAGCGGCGCGACATCGCCGCCCGGGCGGTTCGGAGAAGAATCCTCCTTTCTTTTTCCCACTGCCCCCTCCCGGGCACGGGAGCAGGCAGAAATGGGTACGACACGAGGACTTCCCGGGAGGTCACCCTGCCCAGTACTGCTCTCGCCCACTGGCGCTTAGCTGCGGAGTTCTGATGGGATCCGGCGTAGTAGCCAAGGTATGATCGTACCACGTGCAGTCCTGTCCGCGGTCCGCTTCCCACTCCTCCCCCGAGGCAGCTCCCCTCTTTATAGTCACATCCGCGGTCGTGCCCGCAAGAGGCTCGCCATCTCGCTGGGG